GCGGAGCAACTGGGACCATGCCCCACAACTTCTGACCCTGTGCTCTGGAGCCCTCTAGAGCCCACGAGCCGCAACTACTGAAGTCTGTGCACCCTGGAACCTGTTGTTGAGTTGCTAAGTCGTGTCCAACTCAGAACCCATGGGCTGTAGCACGCCAGGCTCCTCTCTCCTCCACTATCTCCCAGCTGCTGACAAGTGCTCAGTCATGTCCCACTCTTGCAAACCTCATGGACTGTAGCCCGCCAGGCTCCTCTGTCCATGGAATTTTTTCGGGCAAGAATCCTCGAGTAGGTTGCCATTTCCTTCTCCAGGGGATCTTCCCAACCCAGGGATCAAGCCCAGGTCTCTGGCATCTGCTGCATTGGCAGGCAGATTCTTTACCACTAGCGCCACTTGGGAAGCAATCCGTCTCCCAGAGTTTGCTGAAATTCGTGTCCACTGAGTTGGTGATGCTATCTAGCCATCTCATCCTCTGCTGCCTCCCCTAGAACCTGTACAAGAGAAAGCCCACGCAGCAAAGAATATCCAGTGCAACTAAAAGTAATAAATACATTTTTTAAAATGTGAGCTCCCTCTATCCATGAAATTGAGGCAGGAGGTAGATGGACCCCCCCCCCTCCGCCCCCAGGGTAAATCTCAGGGTAAAATTCATTCTCTATGGACTGAAACCCCATGACAAGAGTTAAGGGAGAGGCTAGGCCCTGCCCAGACCACATATTTCTCATTCTTGAAATCAGAAGACTTCCTGTAGACTGAAACTCCAAGACAACAATAGCGGGACAATCAAGGGAGGACTCTGGGCCCTGCCCAGACCACATATTTCTTGTTATCAAAGTCAGGAGACCTCCCCAACCACACATGCACACAAAGGTTCCCTGGAGGTCAAAGGGATGCTCTACCCTTTCGCCTTTTTGTTAGAACCCATCTTGGCTAAGAGAGGCATGCACACACATGAGAGGATCCTGTGATATACCAATTATAGACTGTGAACCAGGCAAACCAAAATGATTGGCCAAGGAAACCCAGAAGAAATGCCACATAAAACTGTTCAGACTGCCACGAGGGCGAAACTCAGTGACTCTCTCTGAGTCCCCGCATGAGTCTATCCACACGTACTGCTCTATTCCTCCTAACAAGCACTTTATTTGTTTCACTACTTTCTGTCTTTGCGGGAATTCTTTTTTGCAAAACCAGGGCGCCAGGGTCTTGTCACTGACCACAGGTTTAGTGATTAGTATCTGGTGCTTTCATTGCTGTGACCCAGACTCAATCTCTGGCCGGTGAGCCCAAACCCCACTTCAAGCTGCTGCAGATGGAGGCCCCCTGAGATCAGATCTGGTATGACAACTCGGGAATTTGGAAAGTCAAGGTAAACCATGGACTTCAGCCAGCTGTCACTTAAGGCCCCTGACTTTCACTCCTGCCTTCTTTCTCTCATCTCCCCTTGGCTTTCTTCTCAAGATTAAAATAATGCTTGGGTAACAGTTGATGCTGTCCTCTGGGACAAGGTGGAAACACAATTTCCAACCGTGCAGGAGCCCAAAGGGTCTCTGTCTCTCTCTTGCTCTCACTGTCTCTCTTTCACTGTCCTGTGTGAAACCCTCCACTACAGGAGGGTTTTCTTTTCCACTTTATTCCCACAACAAGTTCTCTTTCTCACTCCTTATCTCCTTCTTATAATATCCTTCTTCTAGGGAAGGATTTCTTAGATATCATTTCTAAGCTGCATCCCAGCCACTGTCACACTCTATGCTGTCTGTCAGACAAAATCATCAGATGATTCTTAATTCTTTCTCAGCTGCCAGGAAGACAGGGCAAATGATTTTGGGGTTCTTCTGTTGTCTAGTCTCTCACCCCACTCAATGCCCAGAAATCTACTCTGAGAATTTCTCTGCCTGCTGGGCCTCAAACCTTGAGCCCCATGCCATCTTCCACAGTGCTCCAATTTCCCCAAATTTCTTCTTTGCATCTGTTGGACCCCTTCACTCCAGGCCTTGGTAGCCTACACATAATGCTAGGGACAGCCTATTAGACTGGCTGCTACCCAGAAGCCCAAATCATAAGCTTTGTAGATGCTCAGTCACGAGGAATACACCCCAGCATGGAAAGACTCACCATAGGACATAAGCTCTACAGACAAGGGACCCCTCCTAAGGAAAGTCCTGGCAACCAGTTTACACTTAGCTTGAAAGCCCTTCTCTAATTGCTGGGTGGGGTGTCCTGCACATGGTATCATAGGGGCCAGAGATGTCTGGTCAGAAATCAATGGGAGAGAAGAGGCTGCTTGAAATCCCATTAGGTCCAAAGGGAATTTAGGGGATGCCCTGCACCCCATCAGGTTAAAACCTCCTGGTAAAAGTTTCCAGGCTGAAGGATTCCATTCTAGGAGCACTGTCTTATTCTCAGTTGCAGGTTACTCAACATGGGAGGATTCCACTCCAAGTCAGAAAAAACATCTCTGGAGTGTATCCTTAAGAAATGGAAATTCTTTAAAACTGAAGGGTTAAAGAAGGAGAAACTTAAATTCTACTGCAGCAGTGCCCAGACTCTGTTTAAGTTGGGAAATGGAGAAAAATGGCCTGAAAATGGGTCTCTAAATTATAATAACCTTCTGCAATTGGATCTTTATTGCCGCCAGATGAGAAAGTGGAGTGAGATTCCCTATATTCAGGCTTTCACAGTCCTTTACCAAAATCCTACCCTATGTGGCTCCTGTAATTTAAAACCTGGAGAACCAGAAGACTCTCCCAACACTTTAGATGATCTCCTTCTAAGCTCTGATCTCGCAGGGTGGAAACCTAGCACATCCTCCTCCTGACAGTATTCCCACCTAGCCAGTCCACCCCTCATATTAGGCAGAAACTCCAAAAATTACAACTTGACCCACAAACGCCCATGGCCCAGCTCCTAAACGTGGCCTTTGGGGTATTTAATAATCAAGACCAAGCTCAGGAGGAAGAGAGACCCCAACATGAGAAAAGACAGGCTAGGGCTCGTGCAAAACTGATAGCTGTTGCTGTCAGTCATGGTTTGTGACCTCAGGGAGTCCAAGAAAGTTCAACTATTCATCTGGAAATAAGACCAACAAGAGGAAATGCTATAAATGCAAGTCAACTGGCCACTGTGCCCAAGACTGCCAGAAAGAACCTCCCCACCCCAGGCTATGCCCAGATAGCAAAAGAGGGACTGCCCCCAGTCCTGAAGGGGAAGTGGGACTTTGGCTCCTGAGATGGCCATGCTGGACGACTGGGGTGGCCCTGGGGATTCTGGCAGCTCCCCGCAATGAGATGCTAATCTCCATCAAGGATCCCTGGGTAGTCCTTGACTCCCATGGCAGAAAAGAAAATTGATTACTTAACTGATACAGAGCCACTTTACTTTGTCTTAATTTCTCACACTGGACCTCTCTCCTCCAAAAGCTGTACTGTGACTCATGTTGATGGAAAGCCTCGCACTGTTATTTTACTGGGCATTTCCCTTGCCAATTTAAACAGCGGTGGATTTTGCATGCCTTTCTAGTTGTGCCTCAGTGTCCTACCCCTGTCCTTAGGAGAGATCTTCTGAGCTCCCCCGGGGCCATACTCAGGTTAGGAGGCCCGGAGCAGGCTTTTATCTTAACTCTGACTAAGACAGGCCAACCTATTCCCAGAGGCAAGATCCTATTCCCAACCATATCCTATAGGCAGTAAACTCTTAATGAGACAAAGGAATCCCTGCAAGGAAAGTAAAGGCCCAACCTGTAAGAATGAGCCTTAGGCCAGGAACTGCCTATACGTAAAGCTGAAAGAGAAGGGTTTACAACCCCTCATGGATAAATTCCCAAAAGCTGACTCCATGAGTCAGATATTTGCCTTTTTTCTTTAGTTCTGTAAATCCTCCCCTTCTGTTCTATGAAAGAAATGCATCCAGACCCTGACAAGATGGTTATTTTATGACATTAGTCGACTATCCTCTCGGTCAGTCGGTTTTCTGAATAAAGTCACATTCCTTGCCCCAATATCTCATCTCTTGGATTTATTGGCCTGTTGTGCTTCGAGCAAACTGAGCTTGGATTCGTTAACAGGCAGCTGTGAGCTAAGTTTTATTTGGGGCAAATGAGGTCTATAGCCCGAGAGACAGCTTCTCAGATAGCTCTGAGGAACTGCTCTATAAGGTCAGAGGGGAGGTCAGTATGTACATGATTTTAGTGACGGGACACGTGCCATCTAGCATGCATTTTGGCAGAACGTTGCTGCAAGTCACATGGAGCAGTTGTCTCCATTAATGATTTTCGTTCTTTTCTAGATAGGAGAAGATGTGAGAAACTGGGCTCATAAAATCTTGTCCCCCAAATATCTAACTCTCTGAAGGTCTGTTCTGCCAGTGTTCCCTAGAGCACAGAGTGCTTCATCCCTAATTTCCACGCTGAACTCCTTTCAGGGCATGTTGAAAATCAGCAACTGAGTGGTTATGACTTAATTCTTGTGGCAGCAAATAACGAGTGACAATTTTTAGTTGGCATGGCTTCCCAGGTGGCACAGTGGTAAAGACTCTACCTGCCAGTGCAGGAGACGCAGGAAACAAGGGTTTGATCCCTGGGTCAGGACGATCCCCTGGAGGAGGAAATGGCAAACCACTCCAGAATTCTTGCCTGGGAAATCCCATGGACAGAGGAGCCTGCTGGGCTACAGTCTATGTGGTCACAAGGAGTCAGACACGACTGAGCACACACAGGTCGTTTACCCAGGTTTCCTCATCTGTTTCCCTGTCTTGTGCAGAGACCAGATAACTGTTTAAAACAGTACTTACAAGCCTGTCTCATTCCCTAACTGCAAGAGAGGCATCTGTTCCTTTAACCGATTCAGTGAATCCCTTCCTCCAGGAGCCTCTGTAGAAATAGGTTCTTCAAAGACCAGCCAGCAACTTGATCTAACCTTCCTCACTTGCCTGTGAGTCAGAGTCCCTGAAAACAGGCTTCCAAGAGCAATCTCCAGATACTGACACCAGGTTTTTCCTTTCAGACCACAGCCGCTTAAGAACCTGCATCGAAAATGCAAGCTGCATCTGCTCCAGTGGTCATTGTAACTCAGCCCGGAGTTGGAAGCGGTCCAGCACCTCAAAACTCCAACTGGCAGACGGGCATGTGTGATTGTTTCAGTGACTGCGGTGTCTGTAAGTGCTGGGGAGACCTGTAACTGACTCAGAAGTGAATTTTAACATTGTTGTTGTCCAGTCTCTAAGTTGCATACAACTCTTTGTGACCCATGGACTGTACCATGCCAGGGTCCTCTGTCCTCCACAGTTTCCCCGAGTTTACTCATATCTTTCCTTCATTTCTCCCTTATGGTGTAATAAAAGTTCTCCTCTCATTCCAAGATACCCTGCATGTCAGGCAATGCTTTGCTAACAGAAAAATCCTGTACTGATTGTAGGTTCATTCTTCTTCACCCTCCAAAGGATAGTCTTACTCCTAAAAAAGTTCTGGAGTTAAGATAACTGTAAAAAAAAAAAAAAAGGCAATGATTTGAATAATGAACAGGCTTGGCCTAATATAAATAAACCATACATTATATTAGAAGAGATGTTTAAAGTTTAACTTGATTAAAAAGAAAAAAGACTGCTTTTGTTACACATCAATTAAACTCACTACAGTTACACTGTGCCCCATACACAAGGGTTCATTTTCATCCATGGTTTCAGCATGAGCTCACATAAGCATTATTTTAATTTATACATTTAGGATTGTTATACAGAGAAGAATAAAGAATTCTGAAGGCAATTAACTGCTCAGTGAGTAAAATATCTCTAACTCTTCTTCATTTTCTGTTTTGTTTCATTTTATGAGATCTAAGTATACCTGAGAGAAGAAAAGTTCGGGGTAAGATGTGCATGTCAGAGAGACCCAATGCTTAGTTCTCAACACCAAGCAAGAAACAAACAAACCTGCCTACAAAATAAAAAATAAAACAAATTTTACTCAGAGGTTTTTTGTTCATTTGTTCCTTTCTTTCACCTGTTTCAAATCTACCCAGTGTTCTGAGACAGGGAAGGAAAACCTATTAACCTTTAACTTGGCAGAGGAATTAAAATTTGGAATGGAGTTAATAATTACATTGAAAATCATAGAGGGAAAGAATCACCTGGGACATGGAGCCACTGAACTTGTTGATTTGCTCTCCTTGTCCTGCTGCATGAGCCGGGCTGGTCACTTGCACTTCTCAGGACATTAGTTCAACAGCTGCAAATCATAGTGATCATGAAACCACAACAATAAAACCTTCTAAAGAGAATATTCTAATCCTCCAAACCCTAGTATTGTTATTTGAATAAGTGAGTTACAAGTTCTAATATGAGCTTAAAACCTTCACATAGAATTTCTTAAATCATAGATCTGACCAAATCATTCTCCCTTCTTAAAAATTTCAGAAGTTCTTCATGATTTCTGTGACCCCCTCTGAACACTCATACTTCCAAATCGTCCGGTCTCCACCCTGCCTTGGATCCAGCTTCATCCCCGTTCTTCCGCATCCCTGGTTCCAGCCACGTTATGTGAATCCAGCCATTGCTAAGACAAACCAAGTTATCTAAAGAGGCTCTTTCCCCTTTCCTTAATCTATAAAACTCCTAGTCATCATTCCATATTCAGATCAAGCAGCAGCATCTTCCCAGAGCACTGGAGGCCCCGTTTCTGTGAGTGACACCTTGCTTCTTGAGTAGGTTCCTGTTGGAGAACTTTTCACATTATTTGACCTCACTCCTGGACTTCAGACGGAGGCATTGTGGGTAGTGAGGATAACCTCTGGAATGGGGCCAGGTTTCAGTGAGTCATCCAGTACATGGAAGAAGGCAGTACTGGGGGGCCGGGGGGAGCTGATGTGATGTTGAACAGGAGCAGTGAGGAGGGCCGTGGCAGCCGACTATGTGAGAAAGGCCCCAGGGCTTGGAACTGCCATCCATGAGCATACCCTAACTCTCAACCGTGGTGGAGGGCAGAATGCAGTAATTCCTACCTCTGTTTTCACGCATCCAGGTCTCTGCGGCACATTTTGCTTCATGTGTCTTGCGTGTCAAGTTGCAGCTGACATGAATGAATGCTGTCTGTGCGGAGCAACTGTCGCAATGAGGACCCTCTACAGGACTCGATACGGCATTCCGGTGAATCTTTTACAATCTTGTATCATTCGAATATGCACCCGCATTCAAAATAATTGTGATAAACGTGGAGGCCCTTTGATGGTATCTGTCAACTGAATTGGGGCTTCCCAGGTGGTGCTAGTGGTAAAGAAAGAGGGAGATGCAGGAGACGTAAGAGACATGGGTTCAGTCCCTGGGTGGGAAAGATCCCCTGGAGGAGGACATGCCCACAGGCATCAGCTAAATTTGGTTGGTAGGAGTTTCCTGGCATGTACAACCTGGCATGTGCATTCTGTTATTGTAGCAATAAATCCTCTGGTTATATGACCTCCTTCCACATCTCTGTGAAAACCATAGAAAACAAACAACTCTCATATTTGCAATGTATGTCATACAACGGAAGAGGATTGTTCAGAGTCATGCCCGTACTATGCCCCAAGTACATTACATGTTATATCACGAAAACCTCGCACCATCTCTGTAAAGTAAGTAGATCTACCACATTTAAAGATGAGAAAAGTTTCAAAAGGTAGAATAACTCAGGCAAAGATATGCACTAGTCGAAAAGGAGTCATTCCTCAACTCTAACTTTTCATGCCTGCACATTCCATTACACCGTGCTAAGTCACTTCAGTCACGTCTGACTCTCTGTGGCCCCTTTCACTGTAGCCCACCAAGGGCTCTGTCCACGGGATTCTGTCCATGGGATTCTCCAGGCAAGAATACTGGAGTGGGTTGCCATGCCCTCCTCCAGGGGATCTTCCTGACCCAAGACTCGAACCAGCATCTCTTATGTTTCCTGCATCGGCAGGAAGGTTCTTAAGCACTAGTGCCACCTGGGATGCCCCCTTCATTACACCATAAGCTTCACTTATGTAGCAGAAGGTTTTAGTGCTCTCCAGAAACAGAACCAAAAGGAGACAGAGATGATATGAATATAGATATATAAAGAGAGCAAGAAATTTTAAGGAATTGCCTTATATCATTGTGGGGACTGGTAAGTCCAAAAAGCAAGACAGGCTGACAGGCTGGGAAGAGTTGCAGTGTCCAAAGGCAGCCTGCTGGCAGAATTCCTTCTTGTTTAAGGGAGATCGCTCTTTCTCTATTAAGGCCTTCAAAAATTAGGTGAGGCCCACCCACATTCTGGATGGTTGCTCTAAGTTTACTGATTTAAGCATTAATTTCATCTGAAATATTACCCTCAAAGAAACATCCAGAATAGCATTTGACTGAATATGTGGGTACTATGGCCTAGCCAAGTTGACATATAAAATTAACCATCACAGAACAAATAAATAGAATATTTAAGGAGCTAATTTTACTCCATTGAAACTATTTTTTTGCTTAAAACATTTGTTAGTTTTTTAATCATAAAAATATTACAGGTATAGGTAATTTTATGACAAATTCAAACACAGAGATATATAAAATAAAAAGTGAAAATCTAACTGCTTTATGCCCAATTCCACTATTCAGTGATAAAAATTTTATTAATATCAATAATTTGGTGTGCATCCTCCTATAAGGCTTTACCTCTTAGTGGTAAAGAATCTGCCTGCCAATGCAGGAGACACAAGAGACACCAGTTTGATCCCTGGACTGGGAATATCCCCTGGAGTAGGAAATGGCAACCCATTCTAGTAACCTTGCCTGGGAAATTCTATGGGCAGAGGAGCTTGGTGGGCTATATAGTCCACGGGGTCACAAAGAGTCAGACACAACTGAGCATTCAGTCTTTGGGCTTTTGTTCTCCTCTAAGGCATATAAATAGATAGATAGATTAGATGCAGCTACAACTATAGCTGTAGACTAGACATATGTGGTTTGGGATTTGCAGGGCTCTTTATTTTGTTTTTATGTTTTAAATGAGTTCATATTATATTGTAACCTGTTTTTTTCCACTTAATGTATGGTAGACCCCCTTTATGTCCATAATATAGATTCTTTTTCATGTCTGCATAGTATTCCATCATATAGATTATTTACTTAATCACTTTCTTATTGATGAAACCTTAAGTAATGCTGCAGTTGTACACAGCATTTTGTACACACTGGTATTTTTGTAGGATAGTATACTGTTAATAGATTTGATTGATAGATCACAGGATATGCACATTCAAAATCTGAAAGGTACTATCTACTCACATACTTTTGTAATCTTTCCTTCTTTACTCCCCGCTTCTTCCCAAAGTAACCACCAATATGCTTTCTGTCACTGTAGATTAGTTTTCATTTTCTACCATTTTATATAACAGAACTACATAGTGTGTGGGCTTCCCTGGTAGTTCAGCTGGTAAAGAATCCGCCCACAGTGCACGAGATTCCAGTTCAATTCCTGGGTCAGGAAGATCAGCTGAAGAAGGGATAAGCTACCCACTCCAGTATTCTTGGGCTTTACCTGTGGCTCAGCTGGTAAAGAATCTGCCTGCAATGCGGAAGGCTTGGATCAATCCCTGGGTTGGGAAGATCCCCTGGAGGAGGAAACAGCTACCCTCTCCAGTATCTTGGCCTGGAGAATTCCATGGACTGTATAGTCCATGGGGCTGTTAAGAGTTGGACAGGACTGAACGACTCACTTTTCACCATACAGTGTACTATTTTATGCAGCGTCTTTCACTCAGTATGATTTTTTGAGGATTCATCAAATTGTTGTGTACACTTAAAGTGTGTTAGGAAGGCAGATCTCATGCTGAGTATTTTTAACCCCAAAAAAATTAGAAAAAAAAAAGAAAATATTTGAATGGCAAATAAGTACATAAGAAGATGTTCAACATCATCAGTCACTAGAGAAATGCAAATGAAAACCATAGTGAGGTACTGCCGTATGTCTATTGGGACAGCTAAAATAAACAGACTAACTCACACCAAGTGTTAGCTTATATGGAGGAACCGAAACCCTCATGCACTGATGGTTGGAGTGTAAAATATAGTTTCTTAAAAAGTTAAACATACATCTACTTTTTGGCCCAGCCATTCTGCTCCTAGATATCTACCCTGCAAAAATATATATCCATACCAAGACTAGTACACAAATATTTAGAGTAGTTTTGCTTGCAATAGCCAAAAACTAAAAAAACAACCCAAATGTCCCCCAGCAGGTGAATGAATAAACAAATTGTGGTCTATCTATCCATGTAATAGTATACTACTCAACAATAAAAGGGAATGAACTATTGATACACACAATTTGGATGAATCTCAAAATAAATATAATATTAAGTTGTGGGTAAAAATTTCAGGATCATCACTAAAAGGATAAAAATTGGTTGTGGAACATCTGAAACTACTAAAAGGGGACTTCTCTAATGGTCCAGTGGTTAAGACTTCACTTTTCAACATAGGGTGGGGCATTCAATCCCTGCTCAAGGAGCCAAGATCCCACATGTCTCAAGGCCAAAGAAACAAAACATGAAACAATGAAGCAATAATGTAACATGAAGCAATAATGTAACAAATTCAATAAAGGCTTTAAAAATGGTCCCCATCCAAAAAAAATCTTAAAAAAAAAAATTACTGCTAAAGGGAACAAAGGGCTTCCCTAGTGGCTCAGAGGGTAAAGAAACTGCCTGAGATGCGGAAGACCTGGGTTCAATCCCTGGGCTGGGAAGATCCCCTGGAGGAGAGCATGGCAACACACTCCAGTATTCTTGCCTGGAGAATCCCCATGGACAGAGTAAACTGGCAGGCTACAGTCCATGGGGTCGCAAAGAGTCGGACACGACTGAGCGACTAAGCATAGCACAGCAAAGGGAACAAAAGGAACCAGGAAAGGTCTATTCAGCCAAAAAAAAAAAAAAGAAGTAGGAAAAATTAACATTTGATGAATAGGAAACATAAAACAATTTGCCAGTCTCATCGGTGGGAATGATTTAGATGTCTCCACTGTGCTAAAATGTCTTTACTTCTTAATATTTCTCTTAGTGCTTTTGTGGTGAGTCCTTGAGAGCCTGCCCTCTTATGCAATGGGTGAATAGCTCCCCACTTATCTCACCCCTCTTCTTTGCTGGGGCCCCAAAGCCCACATGAGGGTTGTCCGTTAAACTGCTCTGCACTGTGTCCCAGGCAAGGCCACAGCTGGCAGTTCTGGGCTGGCCCAGCCACAAAAGCTGGCTTCAGTTAACCTCCCACCTTTCATTCCCCAGCCTGTTCCTTCCTCCTTTCTGATCTCACAGGTTTTGGTTTGGGGTTTATCTAATGCGGTGCCCCTGACTATGTTAAGTTTCATGTTCCTGAGTTCTGTTTTACTTTTCTCCATCAACATAATCCCATCTGCTTCTTTTTTTTTTTTTTTCAAAAATTTCTGAAGATTTCTGGCTCACTAAGTTCCCCCAGCCCTATTTTCTAGTGCGGCTTGAATGTTATTTAACAAAGCTCTGCAAGCACATAGCTGTTAAAATTATCTAATTTACAAGGTTTTTTGAGAAAAATAATAGTCCCCAAACTTCTATTCCCCATTTCCTCTTTCCCAGAGCTGTTTACCTCCATATCTCCAAATTGTAGACTTGTATTGCTACCTTTTGACTGTTCAGTTGGGGGCGTTGTCTATGGGTCTCCCATCATGGAAGATGAGAATTTAGTTCTGTTTTCTCCCCCTTCTGCACCACGGACATGCACCCTACCCCTACCCCACTCCCTCCAATATGTGAAGTGAAAGTTGCTCAGTCTTGTCCAATTCTTTGCCACCCCATGGACTATACAGTCCATGGAGTGCTCGCTTTGGCAGCACATATACTATACAGTCCATGGAATTCTCTAGGCCAGAATATCGGAGTAGGTAGCATTTCCCTTCTCCAGGGGACCTTCCCAATCCAGGGATCGAACCCAGGTCTCCCACATTGTAGGTGGATTCTTTACCAGCTGAGCCACAAGGGAAGCCCCCCTCCAATATGATTATATATAATTTTGGCTAAGTCCATATTTAGCATTTACATTAGGACACCTATATTTGCTCTTCAGAGCTGAGTTGAATTGTGTAATGAACAATGATTGCCTTTTCTACTAAACTTAGTTTTTCCTACTATTAATAACTCTTGACTTTTTCATTAGGGGTTTTCCATTTACTTACAAGTAATCCAATCCCAAACTCTTTCCAGTTTCTAAATCTCTTCCCTAAACATCAGACAGACATTCTAGCATCTTCATCTTCTTGATGAAATCACTCCGTGACCTGCTACCCTTTGAACCAGTTTTCCATTCCTCATGCGCTGTTTCCGCCCTGCCATCTCCATCATCTTGACCTGGGGATTCCTTTAACCAGTCCCACATGTTAGGTTCTGGTTTCTTATACCCCACATCCTCTTCTTTCTTAGTTTACTTCTTCATTCTGGTGGGGGCACCCTCTAGGAGATTCCTGATACAGGGAAAGGGTATAGGAGAAAAGAATTTTGAGATTTTACTTCCTGAAACTGTTTGTTTTACCTTCCTTTGATAGTTTGTTGGATCTTTTCTTTTTTTTCCCCAATCTTTCACCTCTCTCTAATCTTTTACCTCTTTTGCCTCATGGACTCTTTCTCCTTTTTAAATGTTATGTATTTACTTTTTTTGGCTGTGTTGGGTCTTTGTTCCTGCGAAGGCTTTTCTCTAGTTGCGGCACACGGGGGCTATGCAGTGTGTGGGCTTCTCGCTGCAGTAGCTTCTCTTGTTGCAGGGCACCGGCTCTAGAGAGCATGGACTTCAGTAGTTGCGGCACATGGACTCAGTAATTGCAGCTCCTGGGGTCCAGAGTGTGGCCTCGATAGTTGTGGCACAAGGGCTTAGTTGCTCCATAGCATGTAGGATCTTCCCAGACCAGAGATCCAACCTGGGTCTTCTGCATCGGCAGGTGGATTCTTTACCACTGAACCACCAGGGAAGCCCCTGGTTGGATTTCTTCTATTTTCAACATTACAAAGTGCAGGAAAACATTTGATGTGATAAACAGAGACAGGAGTTATGTGGATAAATCAGCTAACATTTTCCAGAATGTATCCATCCCAACTTCAAATTCAAAGCATCAGCGCCTTCTGCTGCTCTTCAAAATGTCCTAAAATCCCACGAGCCTTTGTTTCCATATAGGTGGGTTTTTACATTTCTGTTTCTTTTCTGTTTTCCAACAGGGATCCATTTGTGACGACTACATGGTGACCCTCTGCTGTCCTCTGTGTTCTCTTTGCCAAATCAAGAGAGACATCAACAGAAGGAGAGCCAATCGCACTTTCTGAAAAAGGAATCAATGGTAAGTCCCGGAATCTGTGAATGTTTAGAAGTGTAATTAAGGGCTCTGTAAACAAAGTATTATTTCGAACAATAATTCAATAATAGCAGTTCTTTAAGCCTTTCAAATGTTATCTTAATAGAAAGATAGATTTTGATTTCTTCTTATGAAGAAGATAGCTGTACTGGCTTGTTCAAGCTACTATAACAAAACGGCCTGAACAGGTTAAACATCAGGAACTTATGTCTCACAGTTCTAGATGGTGGCAAGTCCAAGACTAAGGTGTGAGCCAGTTCAGGTTCTTGGAGAGGGTGCTCTTCTTAGCTTGCAGCTGGCTACCTTTTTGCTGTGTCTTCAAAGACTAGAGAAAGTGTTTTGGTCCTTCCTCTTATGAGGATAGTAATCCCATCATGGGGACCTCACCTTCATGATCTCATCTAAACCTTATTAACTCCCAAAGGCTCCACCTCCTAATACCATCACATTGGGGTTTGGGGTTTCAATATCCCTGTTTGGGGAGCGGTACACAAACATTCAGTTCATAACTCTATATTTTGAAACTGTATTTTTATAAATAAAGGATGACTTTTCTAGACTTCTCAGAATTCTAGTGGTCTATTAATGAGACACCACTTGCAAAAGCATATATATATATATAAAATACGAGAGTGTGGTGAGATACAAAAGTAGTGAATACATGCTCCCTCCTAATACAAACAAACTGACAAAAGAAACTGGTAAATAATTACAAAGTAGTACTGAAAGTGAAAATTATGTTACATAAATTTGGATTGATTGTGGCATAAAGCATATCAATACTTGAGGTGAGGTTAAACAGAAAAGTCTTATTGGAGATGGTAGACTTTGAAAGAGGTGGAATACTATATAGAATATTTGGAAATGTTATGTAGAATGTCATCATCTGAAATTCAATCAAGTTATTTTTCAACTCATTCTTCCAAGATTCTCAGAATTAGCTATCGAGGATGTAGTAAAGTAGAAATCAACATGATTTTGATGATCTTCTATAGAACATATCTTGAGTATGGAAAGAAAACATTAATTTTCCCATTCTTTGCAAAAATTCCACTTCCTTTCTCAAGTGAATGAGAACTCTGTATAAGTTAACAAACAACTCTTGGAAGGTACATTTTTAAATATTCATGTGTGTAGCACATAATGTCTCAAGTACCTAGTACCGTGTGGGACACTGTTAGGATTTGGGGGAACAAAAGGAAATAAGTTGGTCCTCTTGTCCTCTTGTCCTTTGAGACTTTATACTCCAAAAAACAGCATTAATAAAATGTAAACTTTGACCAATGCCTTTAGACAAAGTGCTATTTTATGCTCAGAGGTAGAAAAGATGATATTCTGTGAGATGTACAAGTGAAAGTTTCTTGAAAGAAGTGGTTTTTGATTCTGAAGAGGAAGTGAGCATCAGGGTCTCAAGAGGAAATATGTGGCACCCAAGCTGTGGGAAGAGAAGGATTTAATGAAACCAGCTGCAGGGTGGGCGGGAGGAGACAGGAGGTGGGAACCATGACCGGCCCTGGGCCCCTGGAGGAGGGGAGGGAGCAGTGACTAGAATCCCAAAGGAGAAAGCTGTATGATAGCTGCCCTGAGCAGACCTGAGCAGCCCAGGGCAGCCCTGCAGGAAGGGGTCACCGGGGAAGGCGCCCTGACCTCACATTCTGACGTCCTTCTGGGCTTCCCGTTGGCTGAACCCACCAGGAAGGCAGAGACAAGGATGGTGTTGCTAGGGTACACAGGTCAGCCTCCCAGGGCACAGCGCAGGGTGGACAAGGGTAGAAATAGAGCAGATGGGACCAACAGAAGATTTCTGACTCAAGATGGGAATCTGATGAATAGAAATGGGTGTTGCCTCTCAACAGCAGCATGAGTGGAACTATGTGCTGTGCTATGCTAAGGCGTTCTGTCATGTCTGATTCTTTGCGACCCTACAGACCGTAGCCCACCAGGCTCCTCTGTCCATGGGATTCCCCCGGCAAGAATACTGGAGTGGGCTGCCATGCTCTCCTCCAGGGGATCTTCCCAGCCCAGGGATTGAACCTACGTCTCCTACGGCTGCTGTACTGCAGATGGATGCTTTCCGGTTGAGCCTCCAGGGAAGCCCAATGAAACTACAGAGGCAAAAAGAGGAAAAAACATATTTATGAGTTTAGGTTCCTCTTGGCAGGAACACATAAGGGGGAAAATAATGAGAAATGAAATATTTTACTGCAGTGTCATGAATACTAGGCTAATGACCTGGGCTTTTATTTGGTAAGCACTGGGGAGTTATTTGGGGGCTTCCCAGGTGGCCCTAGTGGTAAAGAATCTGCCTGCCAACGCAGGAGACATAAAGAGACACAGTCCCTGGGTCAGGAAGACCCCCTGGAGGAGGGCATGGCAACCCACTCCAGTATTCTTGCCCGGGGAATACCATGGACAGAGGAGTCTGGTGCGCTGCCGTCCATAGGGTCGCAAAGAGTCGAACACGACTAAACCAACTTAACGTTCAGGCAGGGGAATTATTTTAGGTTGTGAGTAAAGGAGTAACATATGGAGGGTTATGTTTTAGAAAAATTAACCTGGTAATGGTATGTACACAGACTGGACAGGGAAAGGTCAGAAGCAGAGGTGGCCGTACATCATTTCAACACTGTTTAAATAAACACATGAGACAATTTGGATAAAATATTAAGAGCTATCCACACATACATAAATCCTGGCATCTGAGCTTTTTTTTTTTTTTTAACTTCAAGGAAATTATCTCTCTGAATTTTTAAGCTGGTTTGATGTAAAATATCTTGGTGGTCCTGACTCTCGCTCATCAGCTTGGACCCTATGTTATTCATTGACAATAAAACTTTACATATCCAAATATCTGTAATGGGAGAATCAAAAGATACAGATTAAAGAATAATGTGATTTATGTTAAAAACAGACTGAGGCAAAGAGGTGTAAGAACCAACTAAAAAGGGAGAATAGACAGATTTCCCAGAAGTATAGAATTTTACATAATTAATGAAGGTATGCCTCCTGTAAGGAAAGAAAGCATTATTCCCGCCTCTTAAGTATGGTTTGCATAGCGACTTTCAAAGTGTACAGTATGAAAAGGGGAAGGGGGGGCGGGAATAACCTTGGAAGACTAACCAAGTGGAAAAACTGGACAAAATTACCTTAGCCAGTTATCATCATCGGTGGTGTCCTGTTGATAGCATGTACCCCTAAAATGATGTGATGAAACTGGCACTTTACCTCTGTGGTCTTCTCTCGACACCCCACAACTCCAGTCTAACCATCAGAAAAACATCAGACAAAAAAACTGAGGCCCATTCTGCAAAATACAAAAATTAAGGCAGATTCTCCTCAAAACTGTCAAGGTCATCAGAAACAAGAAATGTGCTGTCACGGTTTAGAGGAGCTTAAGGAAACTTAATGAGGAGAGGTAATATGTTATCTGAATGGGATCTTGGAACAGCACAGGGACATTATATAAAAACTGAGCAATCTGAATAAAGGACAGTCTTTGATTAATAATCTATCAACATTGGTTCATTAGTTGTGATACACCTACCATAGTAAGATGCTAGCCAATAGGGAAACTGGTGCAGTTATCTGGGAACTCTCTTTGCAACTTTTCTATAAATCTAAAATGATTCTAAAATTAAATCTTTATTAAAAATTAAAAAGCAGATTGAGAAAATTTGACCTTATTTTTTGTGTCCCTCGTAGGTGAAGAGCTCCTTTCTCCCCCTTTCTTCTGTGGTCGCTCTCCTGACCCGGTGAAGAGCTCAACACCTCTTCAGCTTTTCCACTTTCTGCAATTGAAATATAATTGACATTTTTAATCGTAATCAGTGGGGTTTAAAAAAAACTGAACTTTTATTTCAAAGGAGTGTTATCCCTTAGTTTTGCCAAATGGTCCAGCGTAGTTTCTCCTTGCGATTAAGTTTTCCAGCTTATAAATTCTGTATTACATTTTAAAATATGATCAAATAAAAGATTTTACAAGCATGATTCTTTACAGTTCTTTGCTCTCAATAAAATGTCTTCCTGTCATCTGTCAATTCCAAGGGCCGATATCATAATTTCATTCTTATAGTTTGTTTTCCTAACAGGAGATTTTGGTCCACAGCAATTCAGCTCTCTTTCATCTAAGAAGTTTAAGAGAGAGAAAGACTACAGACAACTATTCTAAGTCAGTGGTCCCTAACCGTTTTGAACCAGGGACCAGTTCCGTGGAAGACAATTTTGCCGTGAATGGTGGCCGGGGGTAGGGGTGGGGTGGGGTGGGGCCGGTGGAGGAGAGAGAGGGAAGGATGGTTTCTGGATGATTCAAGCATATTACATTTACTGTGCACTTTGTTTCTATTATTATTACATCAGCTCCACCTCAGGTCATCAGGCATTACATTCCAGAGGGTGGGGACCCCTGCTCTAAGACACTTACAGTACATTTAACCAACGCTTTCCCTCCTTTTCGTGTTATTTACAAGCATTATTAATGCTGACAAAGCAACAATGCACTAGGTTCTGCTTCCCAACTGCATACTTGATGGTTTCATTGTTGTGTTATTGATTTGCATATGAGGTATCAAAGCAAGTAATAAAAATTCAATTGTCAAATTTAATATGATTCAATTTTGGTTAAATACTGATAGACAAACGTGTGAAGCAATCATTTCTTTTTTTTCAAATTTCTTGTCCTGTTTATCCTCTGCAACATTTTGCCCTGCTGAAAATCTCACTTCCTAATTTCCTTTCTTTCTCCCCCTACACTTCTGAGTCCATTTCATCTGTTGGGGTGGAGAGTGGGGGAAGGCAACCTTCAGACCAGTAGAAATATTGTAAGTAAAAACATCTATTAGTAGAAATATCTACTGTAAGTAGGTATTTCACTATAAGTATATTGTGAAATTTCAGTGAGAAAAAATGTAAAACCACCTGGAACTTAATAGGCACTCAAACTTGAGTCCTTGCCCCCTTTTTTCACTTGCCTTATAGATGTAGGTGTTTTGCCAAGTTCTATCCTGGGTCCACTCCTATCACACCTCATAGTCTTCTTGCTGCTGCTGCTAAGTCGCTTCAGTCGTGTCCAGCTCTGTGTGACCCCATGGACTGCAGCCCACCAGGCTCCCCCATCCCTGGGATTCTCCAGGCAAGAACACTGGAGTGGGTTGCCATTTCCTTCTCCAATGCATGACAGTGAAAAGTGAAAGTGAAGTCGCTCAGTCATATCCAACCGACTCTTAGCGACCCATGGACTGCAGCCTATCAGGTTCCTCTGTCCATGGGAGTTTCCAGGCAAGAGGACTGGAATGGGGTGCCATCGCCTTCTCCGCATAGTCTTGCTGCTGCTGCTGCCGCTAAGTCGCTTCAGTCGTGTCCAGCTCTGTGTGACCCCATAGGCAGCAGCCCACCAGGCTCTGCCGCCCCTAGGATTCTCCATACAAGAACACTGGAGTGGGCTCCCATTTCCTTCTTAAAATCATCTACTCTCATAGCTTCAAATGCCTCCCTTATACCAAGGAAGACTGCATTTCTATTTTCTTCCATACTATTGATCTTCAGAATGTCTCTTCCACCGCCTGCAAAACAAGTGCTTCTTGGTGTTCCCCTACCCATTCTCTATCCAACAGGTCAAACGATTTCACTACCCAGGTTTTCAAGGTAATAAATCTAGATACCGTTGAAACCTGAATTGTCTCATCACACCCTTCTCCCTTCTCCTCACATCTACTCAGACACCAACTTCAGTCACTTAAACTCCACTTGATAACCCTAGTGGATGATCTGTTTTACTTGTTCCTATATCCACAGTGCCTAGAAAAATGCCTGACATCTAGTAGATACATACGCAAATCGCTTTGGCCACCTAATACCAAGAACTGACTCACTGGAAAAGGCCCTGATTCTGGGAAAGATTGAGGGCAGGAGAAGGGACGACAGAGGATGAGATGGTTGGATGGCATCACCGACTCAATGGACATGAGTTTGAGCAGCCTCCGGGAACTGGTGATGGACAGGGAAGCCTGGAGTGCTGCAGTCCATGGGGTCACAGAGTCAGACACGACTGAGCGACTGAACTGAAGAGATCAATTATTGAATGAATTACTCTGTCCTCTCCTCTTTGTCTCCACTGCCAAGAATGTAGTCCAAGCCCACATTACGTCTTTTGAGATTCATGTTTATAGCTCCTGTGTTAGTTTCTCAGCCTCTAGTAACTCCAGCTCCCATTGCTTTCTCCCCAGTCCATCCTGTACACTGCTTGCCTTGAGAAAATTGTAAATATCCTAAAAAAAATTTCCCTGATCTTTCACGACCTCAATCTACCTCTTTAGCCTATTCTCCCACCATGTTTTCACTCTCCAAATTTCCTGTTTTCCCTACTTCAAACACACATACTTATTTCAAATTTCCAATTCCAAATGCTCATTGCTTATATATAAGCAATTGACCTTTAAAACATAGCTATCCGGTTGTGCTGGGTCTTAGTTGCAGCACTCGGGATCCTCACCGCGGCACACAGGATCTATCACTGCACTGTGTGGGCTTCTCTAGTTGTGGCACCGAGCTCAGTAGTTGCAGCACGTAGGCTTAGTTGCCCCACGACACATGGGATCTTAGTTCCTGGACCAGGAATCAAACCTGCAACCCCGCATTGGAAGGCAGATTCATAACCACTGGACCACCAGGGAAGTCCTGAAAGCTACTGACTTTTGTATATTAATCTCGTATCCTGCAACTTGGCTATAACTGCTTATTAGTTGCAAGAATTTTTTCTCCTGGTTCCTTGAGATTTTCTACATAATCATGTCAACTGTGAACAGAGATAGTTTTATTTCTTCCTTCCCAGTTCAGTTCAGTTGAGTTGTTCAGTTGTGTCCGACTCTTTGTGACCCCATGGACTGCAGCACGCCAAGCTTTTCTGTCTATCACCAACTCCCAGAGCTTGCTCAAACTCATGTCCATCGAGTTGGTGATGCCATCCAACCATCTCATCCTCTGTCGTCCCCTTCTCTTCCTGCCTTCAATCTTTCCCAGCATCAGGGTCTTTTCCAAGGAGTCACTTCTATGCATCAGGTGGTCAAAGTATTGGAGTTTCAGCTTCAGCATCAGTCCTTCCAATGAATATTCAGGACTCATTTCCTTTAGGATCGACTGGTTTGATCTCCTTGCAGTCCAAGGGACTCTCGAGAGTTTTCTCCAACACCACAGTTCAAAAGCATTAATTCTTTGGCACTTTCTTTATGGTCCAAATCTCACACCCATACATGACTACTGGAATAACCATAGCTTTGACTATATGGACATTTGTCAGGAAAGTAACATCTCCATTTTTAAATATGCTGTCTGGGTTGGTCATAGCTTTTCTTGCAAGGAGCAAACGTCTTTAATTTCATAGCTGCAGTCACCATCTGCAGCCAATCTGTATTTAAAGGTTAACTTTCTTTTCTGGTCTTACGGCATCACCCAGGACTATAATGCAATGTTCAATAAGAGTGGTGAGGGAATTCCCTGGTAGTCCAGTAGTTAGGACTCTGTTTTCAGTGCCAAGGGTGCAGGTTCAATAACTGGTGAGGGATTCCACAAGCCCTCGGGCACAGCCAAAAATATAGGAGTGGTGAGAGTGGACAGCTTTGCCTTATTCCTGATCTGAGGGGAAAGAATCTAGCAATCTAGTTTCTCACCATTACGAAGTTAGCTGTGGGGGTTTTGTACATATTACTTATTAAATTGAGGAAATTCCTCTGTATTCCTAGCTTGTTGAAATTTTTTATGATGAATAGGTGTTGGGTTGTTGTTTTTTTTTTTTAATTTATTTTTCTTTTTTTTTTTCCATTTATTTTTATTAGTTGGAGGCTAATTACTTTACATCATTGCAGTGGTTTTTGTCATACATTGAAATGAATTAGCCATGGATTTACATGTATTCCCCGTCCCGGTCCCCCCTCCCACCTCCCTCTCCACCCGATCCCTCTGGGTCTTCCCAGTGCATCAGGCCCGAGCACTTGTCTCATGCACCCAACAGGTGTTGGGTTTTATAAAAATGCTTTTTCTCTATTTATTGATATGACCAAAGAACTTTTCTTCCACAGCTTATAGATGTGATGAGCTACATTAATTGATTTTTTAATGTTGAACCAATTTATACACATGGAATAAATCTCACTTGGTCACGGCATTTTTTTGTATTGCTGGATTTTTGTATTGCTGGATTTGTATTGCTGGATTTGGCTCGCTAATGTTTTGTTAAGAATTTTTGCATCTATGTTCATGACAGATACAGAACTGCAGTTTTCCTTTCTTGTAATATCTTTATCTGGCTTTGGTGGAAGGATGATGCTTGCCTTTAAAAAAAATGAATGAAGAAGTGTTCTCTATGCTTCTATTTTCTGAGATTGTAGAGAATTGGTGTGATTTCTTCCTTAAATGTTTGATACCATTCACTAGTGAACTCACCTGGGCCCAGTGCTTTCTGTTATGGAAGGTTTTTAATCATTGATTTAAAAAATTTAATAGAGGCCTATTCAGACTTTTTTCGTGAGAATTTGGTAGATTATATCTCTCATAGAATTGGTCCATATCATCTAAGTTATCAAATTTGTCAGCATAGAGCTGTTTATAATATTTCCTTCATTATTACTCTAATCTTCATAGGATCTGTAGTGATGACCCCCTTTATTTCTGATACTAGTAATTTGTGTCTTCTCCTTATCTGGCTAGAGTCAACCATTTTATTCATTTTTTCAGAGAAACAGGCTTTGATTTCATTGATTTTCTCTTATTAACTTCCTGTTTTCAAGTTTCACTAATTTACACTCTACTCTGATTTTTATTATTTCATCCCCTCTGCTTACTTTGGATTTTTCTTTTTTTCTAGTTTCCTCTTGTGGAAGCTTAAATTATTGATTTTAGATCTTTCTTCTTTCCTAACACATGCACTGCATCCCACAAATTTTGATAAGTTGTATTTTCATTTAGTTCAAAATATTTTCAAGTTCTTCTTGAGATTTCTTCTTTAATCTACATGTTATTGAGAAGTATGTTGTTTAATCTCCAAGTTTTGAGGAAATTTCCAGCTATGTTTCTGTTATTTCCAGTTTCATTTCATTGTGGTCAGAGAGCATACATTTTATGATTTCTATTCTTTTTAACTTGTTAAGGTGTGTTTTATGACCCAGGATATGGTCTACTCTGGGGAATGTTCTATGTGAGCTTGAGTGTACTGTTGTTGGATGTGGTTTAGAAATATCAGATTAGATCCAGTTGACTGATGGTGCTGTTGAGTTCAACTATGTACTTAGTAATTTTCTACCTGCTCAATCTGCCCACTGCCGACAGAATGGTGCTGAAGTTTTCAAGTATAGTGGACTCATCTTTATCTCCTTGCAGTTCTATCAGTTTTTGCCTCACATTTTTTGTTGTTAATATTCTGGTTTTAATGAAAAATATTGTGATTCCATTTTCTCCATCCTTAGTGTATCAATTATATGTATTTCTAAAATTTTATAGTTATGAAATTTCAATCTCTCTGATTACACTACACATCTGTCTTTGACATGTTGTCTACTTTTTCCCATGAGAGCCCTTAGCAAACTAAACATCACTGCTTTAAACTTCTGAGAATTTCAACGTCTCTGCCATGTCTGAGTCTGATTATGCTTGATTTGTCTTCTAATTGTGTTGTTTTTTTTTCTTGCTTTTTATCATCCTTTGTAATGTTTTGTTTGGAGGGCAGACATGATGTATCAGGAAACATGAACTGAGGCGATCAGGCTCTTCTAGTATAAGGTTTTTTGTTAATCTGTTAGATAGGAGCTAGGCAGCAGCACTTTACATTTTCTATAGCTGTAAGTTTAATCAAAGCAGAGGCTTGATTCCTCTTATTTTTCTTGTCTTCTTCCCTGTTGTGTTTTTTCCCCTAGGAATTCTCTTAAAGAGCCTGACTTGGAACTCTTAGTCATAATTCACAGATACTACACTGGAATTTTGTTGTCATGGTGGAAGGGTGTGGAGAGCATTCAATTATCTTGTTATCTCTGTCCTTTCTTTAGCCTAGGTCCCTGAGCTGTGACCTTTAGAAGTATTTCTTAGACTGTATCTCTTCTCCCATGACACAAGGCTAAAAAAAAAATGTGTTTAGTTGCTAAGTCCTGTCACAAGTAGTCTAACAGGGACTGAAATTATCCAGCTGGCTTTTCCCCAGGTCAGATAAGGCCTTGGTAGAGTAATTTCCTTCAGAGAGCAGGCCTTTGTCATGGAAAATGATCTGGAAGTATTTCAAAATAGTTGCTTTCTCCTCCCCTGGGATCCCTCATCTTAATCATGATAATTTCCTGGAGTGCCACGGGGTTTTAACTGTCCTGCCAATCCAAACTTATTGCTATTGTTTAGCTGCTAAGTCATGTCCAACTCTTCTGCAACCCCATGGGGCTGCAGCCCACCAGACTCCTCTGTCCACGGGATTTCCCAGGCAAGAATATTGGAGTAGATTGCCATTTCCCTCTCCAGGGGATCTTTCCAAAGCAGGGATTGAACCCACATCTCCTGCATTGCAGGCATTCTTTACCACTGAGCCACCACAGAAGCCCTAGTCCATGGTTCAGTTCAGTTCAGTTCAGTTCAGTCACTCAGTCGTGTCCGACTCTTTGCGACCCCATGAACTGCAGCACGCCAGGCCTCCCTGTCCATCACCAACTCCTGGAGTCTACTCAAACCATGTCCGTCGAGTCGGTGATGCCATCCAGCCACCTCATCCTCTGTCGTCCCCTTCTCCTCCTGCCCCCAATCCCTCCCAGCATCACGGTCTTTTCCAATGAGTCAACTCTTCACATGAGGTGGCCAAAGTATTGGAGTTTCAGCTTCAGCATCAGTCCTTCCAATGAACACCAAGGACTGATCTCCTTCAGGATGGACTGGTTGGATCTCCTTGTGGTCCAAGGGACTCTCAAGAGTCTTCTCCAACACCATAGTTCAAAAGCATCAATTTTTTGGCACTCAGCTTTCTTCACAGTCCAACTCTCACATCCATACATGACCACTGGAAAAACCATAGCCTTGACCAGACGGACCTTTGTTGGCAAAGTAATGTCTCTGCTTTATAATATGCTGTCTAGGTTGGTCATAACTTTCCTTCCAAGGAAAAAGTCCATAGTTAGCCTCCAGTAATTTGTCAAAGTTACCATTTCACTATTTACCAGTTACTGGCCCAAGCTGGTCTGCTCCTGGTAAGCTGACCTCTACTGTGACTCTGTTTCTGTGACTCTGTTTATTTCTCCAGTTTTGGGAGTGGTGGTGTGCCCTATGACCTCAATTCTCTGGTGGATCTAAGAAAAGGAATGGATTTTTTTCCACCTGTTAAACCTTTTCTTGCTGGGAGGATGGATTGGCTACTTGAGCTCTTTACATGTTTGAGTTGAAACTGGTAGTTGCCTACAAACTCTTTTTTAAAAGTCCTTCCCCATTTTCTCTATGAAGGGAGGCAGGAATGATTCTGAGGAGTCTTTGCTGATCTTTCTCTAAATAAAAAATTCCCCACTGTGTGCTCAGACTTGGTACAGGTATTTCACGTGCTGACTCTTGGCTCTGTGACTGTGAATACCTAGGGAAGAGGCTTTTTGGTTTATCTTTTCACTTCTTGCATAAGGGACAAATAAATGTCTGCTTTTAAGTGAAAGGGAAAAGGAACAAAACACCATTCACTAATTAAAAACAAACTACTACTTTTATTTGGCTCACTTCTCCATTTATTAGAATAACCACATGTGGAGAGGCACAATGCGCTTAAGTTTTACATGACTACAAAGTTATCACAAATCCCGAACTTCTTAGCCACAGTTATTTCACTTACTCTGTTTAAAGAAAAAGCTTTCAAAACATCTGAGTTAGCTTGATACACAGAGACCCTGAATAAATGGGAACTACGTACTTTTAAATGCTTGTACTTCCTGCTCTAATAATGTCTTCTTTAAATAGAATCCAGCATAAAAGGGATTGAAATATGTAAGGTCATGATGCAAGTGTTTCTGAGAGAGTGAAGTGAATCCGTACGTGGAAACAGATGTAGTGTGCACAGACGGTCTGCAAGGGGTCACTGTGCCATCTGGGCCTCCATGGCTTGTGCCGTCCATTCTGGGGCTGTCTGACTGATTTTCTCCAACAGGTTATTCACCTGGAAACAGAGTGACTGGATCTGTTTGTCCCATGTTGGCAGGGCTTCTCGTGCTAAAGAGAAAAGGAATAATGTACAAAGCTGAAGTCACTCCTTTGCAACCATAGTGAATGTGAGTTAGAAGACAAAATACAGAAACACTGATTTTTAAAAGTTTACTTCAAAACTCTTGGCTGATAAAATTAAGCTAATTATGCAACAGTTAAGAAAAGTACTCTAATCACTGGTACAGAGTATAAAACAAAACAAAGGTACACAAAATAAAACCAACCAAACCACCTCAACCACAACAATAAGGCGACTTCACCGAAGTCAAAGCACTGAAGTGCTTTTGTCACTCAGTTTATACCTTCGTAAGATCCCTGGAGAAGGGACAGGCTACCCACTCCAGTATTCTGGCCTGGGAGAATTCCATGGACTGCATAGTCTGTGGGGTCACAGAGTCCAAGCAGGACTGAGCGACTTTCACTTTCTTTCACTTTATACCTTCATAAGACACTGCCACCTGCTGGGGAAAGTAAGTCTATTTATCTACTCCACACTGTCTCTACTGGACTCTAAAAAATACTTTTAATATTTAAACTCCAAACAAAAAACCTCATGATCTAGCAGGCTTTTCTCTACACCAGCAATCTGCAGTTAGAAATGAAAAACTATGGGGCAAGTTCCACCCAAAACAGCATCAACAATTACAAATTTGGGCACAGAATTAATGAAGGGAAAAAAACTATAAAATCTTAATAAAGGACATAAAATAACCTGAGTAGATACAAATCATATTTCCAGCTGGAAAAGATGTAATATCTTAAAAATATCAGTTCAGTATTAAAACATAAATTTAAAGAAATTTCCAAGACAATCCCCCTTTCTCTGTTTTGCTTCCTGAACAAGATAAAATTACTAAAGTTAATATGGAAAAACTGATGTTTGAGAATAGCCAAAATAATTTTGAAAATTAAAAACAGACAAAATTATAGTATATCTACACAACTAAGTATTATTCAGCCTTAAAAAGGAATGAAAAAAGTACTGACTACATGTTATAACATGAGTGAAACTTGAAAACACTACATTAAGTGAAAGAAGCCAAAAGGTCACATATTGTACGGTTTCATTCATATCAAATATCCAGAACAGGTAAATCCACAGAGACAACAGAAGTTAGTTGCCAGGGGCTGGAGAGAGAGAGGTATGAGTAAGTGCTTAAGGGCCATGGGGCTTCCATTTGAGAAGATGAAAATGTTCTGGAATCAGGCAGAGGTGGTGGCTGCACAACACTGTAAACAGACTAAATGATACGGAATGATTAATCTCACATATGTGCATCTCACCTCAGTTAAAAAATAGTAGTGGAGGGATAGGGTCTGCTTTATCAACAGTAGAATCTATTATAAATTTATTACCTAATATTGTTACAGACCCATGGAACCGAAAAGAGTACAAAAAGAGATCCAAATTAATCTGTGAAACCTGTGTGCGTGCTAAGTCACTTCAGTTGTGTCTGACTCTTTGCAACCCTGTGGACTGTAGCCCGCCAGGCTCCTCTGCCCAAGGGATTCTCCAGGCAACCATACTGGAGTAGGTTGCCGTGCCCTACTTCACAGGATCTTCCCGACCCAGGGATCAAATCCACCTCTCTTACGTTTCCTGCATTGGCAGTCGGGTTCTTTACAACTAGCACCATTTAAAACCTAATACACTCCAAAGATCAGAAAGGATGTTTTATTTAATAAATGATACACACATAATTGGCAATCTATCTTTAAAAAAAAACAGCTAGACCACGACTGAAAATTATACACAAAAATGAACTACAGATTGAATTTGTAAATATAAAACAATAAATATTAAATAAAATTTAAATATTAATTTAACCCCAAAGTGAAGGAGACTTTCTTAATTAATACAGAAAACACAAAAGTCATAAAATTAAAAATGGACATATTTGGCTGCAAAATAAGCTTTTAAATGTGTCTGGGGTTAGGGTTTATGGTACACATTGCCTAATAGAAACACAACTGATAGAATGACAAAAGTATCTGTAACATTGAAATAGGAAAGGTATGGAGGAGAAAGGATAGAAATGTGTAAGAAAAAATAACGTCAATTCACAGACAAGAAAATGCTAATGACCAATACATGGAAAGATTTAAACTTCACCAGTGCCAAGGAAATGCACAGTAATGCAGTATTTCCCCCCAACAACTGGCAAAAGATAAAAAGAAAAAGAATATCCAGTTGTTAAAGATTCATTCTCCCATATTGGTGGAAGTGTAAATGGCTACAGCTTTCTGGAAAACAAACTGGTAGTAGCTATTAATCAAAATACATATATCCTCTGAAGCATCAAAGTATGCAACTTCTGAGACATCGTTCGAGAGAACTAAGTGTCCCAGGATTTAAAGATTAGCACAAGGAAACCACCTGAATGTCTATCAGCAGGTGAATAGTTGAACTCCATGAAATAACTACACAACTATTAAAACAAATAAATTAGATTTTATATCTAGTGACTTGAAAATATGTTCACAGTACATTAACTTAAAAAAAAAACACTTTGTAGAATAGTATGTACTTTAAAGTATGACGCCATTTTTTAAAATCCCTATGTACCTTTTTTTAAGTGTCTATACAAGTATGTAGAAAGACAGACAAGATTTCAGACTGATACTAGTTATGCCAGACAGATAGGGTTAGAGGAATGCAAGAGAAACTGAAAAGATATTACAGGCTCTTCCTTTAGTCATTGGTGTAAATTTACTTCTTAATAAGAGCAGATTTACCATTGCAATTTTTTTAATCTAAGAAAATTAGAAAGGAAAATATTTCATATTCTATCAAGTTAGCAAACATTAAATTGTTCTTTTAAAAAATAAATAAATAAATTGTTCGTTTACTTGGTGACCCCTCTGCTATACTATTCATCATATACTGTATTTGTTAATTCAATAATTATTTATTTCCCACTTACAATAGGCAGGGCACTGGAAAAGATGTTGGACATACCATGGAGAACAAGAAACACTTAATATTGATCACTAGGAAGCTGAGCCTGGTAACAGAAACAGGCATTTAAACAAAGAGCTACAGAAATGGAAATAATTATGATTAATGCTAGCAAGAAATTCAGGGTGACAAGAACATATAACTTAGAGCTACTCCTAAACTGAGGAGTCAGGAAAATCATTATTGATTAACACTGTTGAAACTAAGACACAGGGACAAACAGAAGATGACTGGAGAGGCTGGCTGTGAAGGGATGGCTATTTTGGAATGTCTGATGTGGGAAGGAACTTACAATGCTGGAGAAAACAAAGCCCTGTGGGCTGGACTGGAAAGAGAAATTCATTAAGGATCATGTGGATCTTTTGGAGACTGCAGAATTTTACTCTACAAGCAATGGGGAAACCATTCAATTGGGAATTCAATGGGGAATTACATTCAGTTAGCATGTAATGGAATAGAGTAACATTGAATCATTTGGTTTTTATTTCTTTTTTCTGCCTGTTTGCATTTTTCAAAGATCATGATCACTCTGGCTATAAGAGGGCAATGGGACTAGAAAGGAGCAGTTGCAGACTTGAGAAAAAGTTAAGAGGCTATTTCTTAAGCCCAGAAGGGGGTATGGGAGCTTAGAATAGACTGGTGACAGTAACAAATGAAGAAAAGTATGTGGATTCTAGATACACATAAGACAGAAAGTTGAAAGGATTCTGAGCAGCAAAGAAAAGAAGGGGTCAAGGATAAGGGTGCTGGAGAAAGTGAACACTCTAGTTCTGGATAGCTGGTTGGTTGTTCAGAGAGGCAGGCATGGAGGGGAAATGGTGAATGTGGTTTTGGGTATGTTTCTTCTGAGACGCCCACAAAACAGTCAGGTGGGAAAAACCTAATGTCAATTAGAGCCTCTAAGTCTGGGCCTCAGAAGAGAGATTTATGCTAGAAATCTAAGTACTGTCTGCACAGAGATGGATCAATAGGAGTAGATGAGAGGGTACTAGGTTACTAGGGTAACTCAGCAGAGTGAGGAGAAAAAGGCTGAGGAGTAAGTCCTAAGCAGCCCCAATATTTAAATGCAAACCACGACAGAGTCTACAGAGATGGCTGGGAAGAATACCTGGAGAAAAAGGAGGAGAAATAGAACAGGGTGAAGGAGAAAGACAAGTCAAGAGGGTGGGAGGCAATCAAAAAGGAGTAAGTGATCAACTCTATTTGGTATGATGTAAAGCCAAGATGAAGCCTGAAAGATAAAAGGATTTTACTAAAACAGAAGAGACCCCAGTATGTTTAAATATTGATAGAAAGAAGCCAACAGAGGTGGGGAAAAAAGGATGAAAATGGACAAAATAATTGCTAAGCTCAAGTTCTTTAAAAAGATTTCTTTAGGGGGTAGGGAGTGGCAGCGTTCAGAGAAGGGACACCAAGTGAAAGAACTAGAAAGAGAGATGGAAACCATCTCCAGTATAACACGAAAGAAGAAAAAGACAGAATTCAATCTATATTTAACATTTAGGAGTTTATAAATCTGATAAAGAAGTTAAGATAATTTCATATGAATAGCTTTTTTTTCTTCTCCCTGTGAACCAGAAATGCAGTTTTCTCCTGAATGAAGGAGGACAAGAAAGTCAGAGATTCAGGAAACTGAAATCTGAAACAGTCCCTGCAGAGTAGGGAAAAAGAGTGGACTAGAGAAATATATGAAGAGTCCCAGGCAGTGTTGAGAACCCAGGAACCTGGATTTGCAGTGGCATCAACCAATCTGGGACTCTGACTCTCCTCCAGCAACCCCAGTTCAGCTACTCAAGGACAGGCCTGGAAAAGCCGAAGGATGGGGTCATTCAAGGTGAAGACCTGCTGGCCAGCAGGAACATAGAGTTAGCAGGCAAGTGGTCTGGGCCTCTGTGAAAGAGTAACTGAAATGATGAACCAACTCTAAGCTGGATAGGAAGAATGGCAAAACTTTAAAAAGGGAGACTTCCCTGAGGTCCCATGGTAAGACTCTGTACTCCCAATGCAGGGGACCCCGGTTCAATCCCTGGTCAGGGAACTAGATCCCACATGCTACAACTAAAGAGTTCATATGCTGCAACTTAAAAAAAAAAATAAAAAGATCCTGCATGCCACAATGAAGACTGAAGATCCCAGATCCCACGTACCACACTGAGACCTGGCACAGCCAGATATAAATAACTTTTTAAAATAATAAATTAAAAGAATCTTAAAGGGCTAGGATGACAGGAAGAAAGTGGAAGTCACAGATGAAAGGCTCCAGTGCGGTCAAGGAAGAGGTAAGGCAGACGTACCTGAGAAAGATCACTAGAAAGGCTGGGGAAAGGCCACGGACAGAGTGCGATATTTCAAGTTACAACTGTTCAAGCAGAATGGTTCTGGTAAATAAGGTCCAGGGCACAAATGAGGTGGGAAGAGGGGCTGAGGAGGTATTAAAATAAATGAGAAAGTCGCAAGATCTACTTTTCTGTCTGCCTCCATCAGTTTAGTGAGCTGTTGAATAGGAAATGCAACTGTCCTTTCTACATGCCCGTTACATGGTATGTAGTCAATAAATGTTTGGTGAGTACATGAATGAATATAACAATCTCAGTTTCAGTTTTTTCTCCTTTACATTTGGACTGCAAGGAGATCGAACTAGTCAATCCTAAAGGAAAGCTCCAATATTTTGGCCACCTGATTCGAAGAACAGACCCACTGGAAAAGGCCCTGATGTTGGGAAAGACTGAAGGCAGGAGCAGAAGGGGACAACAGAGGATGAGATGCTTGGATGGCATCACCGACTCAGTGGACGTGAGTCTGAGCAAGCTCCTGCTGATGGTGAAGGATGGGAAGCCTGGCGTGCTGCAGTCCATGGGGTCGCAAGGAGTCAGACCCAACTGAGTGGCTGAACAACAACAATTTCTTTGGGAAATAAGTTCATTCCAGTAGTAAGACTCTGGGTCAAAGGAAGATGCTCAGCAATTGCTCAGCATATTTTAATCACAAATACACAACACTGTCATTTCATTATGCTATAACCAAGCAAAACTTCTTACTTTCAAAATGAACTATTCCATCAATCTGATCAATAAATCCATTGATACGTCCTTCTGTGATCATTTGCGATGCTATCTTTTCTGCCTGTTTAAAAAACAAAAAAAAACACCAAAACTCTTAGACATTTTAATTATCATAGCAAGTTATTCACATATGCTCATCAACAGAACGGAAAACTCTTGGGTTAGCTGACCATCACTAAGCCTTACATATGTGTTCATCTGCCATTCATTACAAAAGAAATCTTGGAAATCTGACTATTTAATCCCCCAATTCTTTCCACGTACAATCCATTATTTTACGTTAACTGGAATCTGTTTCTCTTGTTAGATTTTGAACAAGCACTTAGCCCTCTTAGCAATTTTTCTCTCTGCTCAAAATCAAACTCACAATTATTCTTCTCTCTGGGATTGACACCTCAAAAAAAATCCGTAGCTTTTCTTATTCTATCTCATTTCAGTTTTCACATTGTTTATCAACCCCAAGGCTATTTAAGACAGTAATTTCTTTTGAAGGAAAAACTGAAAGGAGGAAGAGTGTTCAAATTTAAAAGAGAAATGAAAGGATTTAAAAGACAATTAAAGGGGAGCAGAAGGCCGTCTAATTCCTAAAGACATACTTCATGCTTACTGTCTGTTAAGGAAATGGGGCTGTGACAGTCATTACAGTAATTCTGAACATGTTCATAATCAATCCTAACTCACTCCTGAACAGACTGTGACTAGCATTTACTGCTAAAAATATATTCACTTCCCTTAGTCTTGGCAAGGAATCATACCTCAAAGTCGAAGAAGCAAGCCATCTATTAATGGTAACTAAAGCCTTGGTTCCAAAATTGTTCCACTGCCTTTACTGTGTAATAAATGCATACATGTAAAGGCATTGTTAGTGAAATTTTAATTTAGTATTTTCTAACAGATAAAAGGGGATGTGATCATAATTACATGACTTCAAGGTCTACAAGTTAGTAAAAGTAAGGTTGATTGCTTGCTTTTATGTTATTTAAAATTAAAAGAATGTTTTGTAGATGACACCTGAAATACCCTCTAAGTAATACTGGCACTTTTCCAGATTTTATACACAGCCAACCAAACTTTATCATGACTAAGAATGAAATCAACTCCCCAATAACACAGGCAACTTCTTAAGTTAAATCAACCACAGAAGTTACAACAGAATAGCTTAGAATATTACCACAGTCATTAGAGGGCAGGAGAAAGAAGTGAGGCAAATGTTAGTTAAAAACCAGAAACCACTAAATTCATTCTAGGTTACTTTACCATAAATTACAACTTAAAAACCAGAGACAATTAATTCCATTATAGCACTATTTTAACACTCAAATAATTTATTTCCATTTATCTGAGGCTTTTTAATGTATGTTTTTGTCACAGCTGCCAGTATTTACCAATTACAGTCATCCCTCAATATCAGCCCATGGGGGGTTGGTTCCATGAGGGCCCTGGATACCAAAATCTATGGAGGCTCCAGACCCTTACATAAAATGGAGTAGTACAGTGAATACAGCTGGCCCCCTCCATATCCACAAGTTTTTCATCCACAGATATTGAGGTCCAACTGTATGTGTTTTATTTTCTCTTTATATCAATGATTTAGTCTCTTAACTTCCTTTTTATGTATTGCAAATAAGAAAATACCTTAGCTGCAGGAATCTCTAAAAGGGCTCCAAGTTCTTCAAAGGTAATATTGTTATATAATTTGCTTGCAGACAATAAATTGTGTTCAATAACAGCTCTGTCCAAGATGCTAGAACCTTAAATATAAATAAGAAAGTTATAACTTCGAAACTAGGTTTACACTCTTAAAAGACGCATCTTTTTTTAAAAAAAATTTCCAGGCATGTAATAATTCATAATCATTGTCTTTATTCTTATCAAAATTTTAAAAGCAACCAAAATGCTCTAATTGATACATTTTTTATAACAAACAGTTAAATAAAAATAAAATTTAGAAGATGATTGGCAAGTAGTTACTTATTAGCTGAACAGATTTAGTCCTCTGGATTTGGGGTTTTGCTTCCTTAGACTAGTCAGCAGTTTCATTACTTTCTCTTCTCTTGCTATAAGCACAAATTTCATCAGCAAGCAGCAGCAAAACAATCATGCAATCTGTTCTGTAAGCTTGATAAGTCAAAACGTACAGAGCAATGGGAATGTCTCTGTTCCTCTGGGCACTGCACACGCACTGTACTGAGGCAAATGTGAGAAATGTTTGGAAGGCAAAATCCCTTTGTGAGATATCAGGCATAGGATCCTCCCCTAAGAAAGATAAAAGAGGGCCTGACAGAGTTCTGGACCTAAGGCCCCATCCTGAAAGTGTTAGACTGTTGGGCTCACCCAATCCTTTTTTTCCCTTTTATTGAGATATAATTAACATGTAACATTATATTCATTTAAGGTGTATAACACACTGAGTTGATATATGTATATACTGTGAAATGATCATCATCAGTTTAATTAACTAGCATCATCACCTCACAGTTATAATTTTTTTCTTGTGATGAGAACTTTTAAGATCTACTCTCTTAGCCACTTTCCAATATAAAGACCTAAATAAATAGGAAAATATGGAAGATTTAATATTGTTAACTCCCCAAATTGATCTACAGGCTCAGTGTGGTCCCTAACAAAATCCCAGCTGGCTTCTTCACAGAAATTGACAAGCTCATCTTAAAATTCACACGGAAATTCAAAGGACCCAGAGGAGCCAAAATAATTTTGAAAAAGAACAAAGCTGGAAGGCTCAAATTTTCTGATTTCAAAAATCAGATTGCTCAGACACAGCAATCAAGACTGGGGAATTCTGGTGTGAGGACAGACATACAGACTAACAGAATAGAATTGAGAGTCCAGAAATAAACTCACATTTACAGTCAACTGATTGTCAACAAAATTGCCAAGGTAATTCAGTGGGGAAATAAGAGGCCAACAAATGGTGCTAGGACAACTGAATATTCACAGGCAAAATAAAGTTGGACCCCTACTTAACATCACATACAAAAATTAACTCAACATTAATCAAAGACCTAAATGTAAGAGCTGAAATTATAAAACTTACAGAAGAAAACAGCAACTTTTTATGACCCTGGATTAGGCAACAGCCTTTTAGATACAACAAAAGCACAAGCAACTAAAGAAAAAAACACAAATTGGATTTCATAAAAATTAATAACTTCTGGGTTTCAGAAGACATCATCAACAGTGAAGAAACAACACACACAATGGGAGAAGATATTTATCTGGCAATGATAACATCTAGAATACATAAGAATTCATGCAATTTAATAATAAAAAACCAAATAACCCAATTTAAAAGTGGCCAATAAGCACACAAAAAGGTGTTCAACATCATTAAGCCCTCAGGGAAATGCAAGTCAAAACCATAAAACAAGATACCACACTTCATACCCACTAGGATGACTAGTGGGTATGAAGATAATCAAAAAGACAGATAATAACAACTGTAGGAGAAAATATGGAGAAAATGGAACCCTCACACATAGGAATGTAAACCGGGGCAGTCATTTTGGAAAACAGTCTGCAGCTCCGCAAAAGACTAAACATAGGGCCATGTTGCCGTTGCTGTTGTTGTTCAGTTGCCCAGTCATGTCCAGCTCTTTACGACCCCAGGGACTGCAACACACCTCTTTATCAGTTGATGGGCATTTAGGTCGTTTTGCTATTAACAACGCTGCTGTGAACATTCATGTAAAAGTTTTTGTACAGGCTGCGGCTGCTAAGTCGCTTCGGTCATGTCCAACTCTGTGTGACCCCATAGACGGCAGCCCACCAGGCTCCCCCGTCCCTGGGATTCTCCAGGCAAGAACACTGGAGTGGGTTGCCACTTCCTTCTCCAATGCATGAAAGTGAAAAGTGAAAGTTAAGTCGCTCAGTCCTGTCCGACTCTTCACGACCCCATGGACTGCAGCCTACCAGGCTCTTCCGTCCATGAGATTTCCCAGGCAAGAGTACTGGAGGGGGTTGCCATTGCCCTCTCCGTTTGTACAGAAATTAGCTACCATATGACCCAGTAATTCCACTCCTAGATATACATCCAAGAAAATTAAAAATTAAAAAAATTAAAAACCTATGTCCGTACAAAAATTTCACGTGAATGTTCACAGCAGAACCTAAATGTCCATCAATTGATGAAATAAAATGAGGTAACACAACGTTATTTGGCAATAAAAGTGAATGAAGTACTGATATACACTACAACACAGATGAACCTTGCAAACATCAAGCTAAGTGAAAGAAGCCAGTCACAACAGATCACATATTGTATGATTCCATTTATATGAAATGATCAGAATAGGCAAATCTACAGAGCAGAAAACAGCTTAGCAGTAACACTGTAAAGCCCTGGGAATATACTAAAACCACTGAATTGTAGTAATAACAGCAACACTATGTCTCAAGAGTGCTAGCCTAGGGGTTGTAATGACAATAAACAAAGATGGTCAAGAAAAATAAAGTAATAAAGGCTAAAATGGAAGAAGATGACAAAATACCTGTCCTATATACAGTCTCCTGTGAGAAATTTGAAAATCATTTGCATTCTCAGAGATCCTAGTTAGAATCCCTCATTTTAGAAGAGTAATCTGATTTTATTTTTTCTTTCTTTGGCCAGAAAGCACAAAGTCAAATCTGAAGTTTAACTACATCAGTTCTGGAAAATTTTTCTTACTTATTTAGCTTTTATCAGATAACTTCCTGCAAAAGAATTTATTAAAGTTGCTCAGAATACACAGGAGACAAGAAACTTAAAATTACAAAAGAAAAAGAAGAATAGCAATGGTCAAAACACACCCATTACAGGAGGGCTACAAGTTTAACTTTTTAAACTTTCCAGCAGCCTATCAAATTAAGAAAATCAATCAGTTTATCAACTCACGTTATTTAAATTAAATCAAGTGCTTGGGAGAATCACAACTAATCCTAAGACTGAAATGGAATTTTTCTCACTATCTGCATAAAGAATATCCTATAGAATAAATTATCTCCTTTAGAAAGAAAGATAATAATTACTTTATTTGCTTCTTAATGTACAATTAAACAAAAGAAATTCAATAGATCAATATAATTGCTTCAGTAAATCTGGGAACTAGGGCAGTGACTGGTGAGGTATATATACCTTTTTGCCAAATCTTACATAAATAATTCTATACAGCTAGATTCTCTTCAATATGGGATGACAGTGAATCCAAGGCAATGTGTTTAACAGATCTGCATGTCTGTTTTGACCTTTTCCGTATTTCTAGTGGTCTACATCTATATTTTTAGTCATGTGTGCTATTGTTATAAGTTACCTTAAAATCTCTATAGATAAACATATATAAAATTATTGATATTATAAACAAGCATCTATTCAAAATTCTTTCCCAGCAAAGACAGTCTGACTTAAGCAAAGAGCAGGAAACACAACACCAAGCTCTATTCTTATTGGAAACACTTACCCTTTAATGAGCTTGTGCAAGCTACTGTGCCAAATTTTGCTCTATCTAAAACAGGACTGGGTAATTATGCTCTGTTACAAACTGATGTTTAAAATTCATTAAGGTACTTACCAAACGGTTTGAGTTTTTAAAAAAATCGGGTGCTATAAGCCTAGCCTATAATTCTTCTGCCTTTTCAGTTTCCAAAAAATATTCCAAAAAATGCTTTCCAATAGGTCTACCCTTATATTTCAAGCTCATGTCCAAGTATGATGTTCATCTTCAGTCAATATTCATTTTTTATCAAGCGCTAGATACAAATATTACAGAAAGATATCAAGCCTCTTCAAATTTAACATATGTTCCACCAGTGTGACCTGAAGATTCACTACCACATTATAAGAAGCAGTCATTACCATCAGCTGTAGTTGCTTTCTGGTGAGGCATCAGCATGGCAGCGAATTCTTGAAGTTGATTTCCTCTGATGATCCTATCTAGGTACATTTTCTCTAGGATTCCGTAAGCAGCAAGCTGCTGGCACCTTTCATCCTTAAAAAGAGTAGCTAGCATCCGAGAACGCTGCTGTCCTAAGGGAAACAAAGGAGCATCAAATATTCTCACTCTCTTTTCAATGAAAACCAATCGTTCTTAGACTGCATTTTTGCCTACTAAAATATACAGTTGATCCTCCTTATTTGTAGCAGCTAAGTCCTATAAAGTCGCTGCCAACAGTGAATTAGTGAATACTCAACTGCTGCTCCTAGGGTTGACACAGGATTAGGCTCTTATGAGCCTCTGGTCGCAGCATTTTTGTCAGCTGGTCAACATGTAATCTTGTCTTGTGTGTTTGTTTAAAGACACCTTAACTTATGGCTTATACTATAACTCATGCCTGAAAGAACTTATCTAACTTAACACATGTATATTCTCCATAAGACACATCAGACTTCCCACATTGAGTACACAAGATAATACTATGGCACTATGCTTAGGGACCATTTAAAAACAGAAAAACCATCAACAAATGCATGAAAATATGAAGAGTATCACATAGACCACAAGAAAGGACATTTGTTTATAGTAGGAGAGCTGAAACAATGTAGAATACCACCACCTTGTTTGACACCTGCTGGAAACAATATAAGTAGAGGGGCTCAGATTTTTTGCTGCTCTGCGTGCACATGTCTGCATATGACTAGAAAAGCACCTCAAGTATTGATTTGGGAGGGGGTGACAAATTTTAGCAAGCAGGAAGATTCATCTACATGGAATCTGTGAATAATAAGGACCAGCTGTATATTCATTTGTGAAGACTATGATACACAATCATTCTCTCAGTAGCCAACAGGGACTGGTTCCAAGACTCCCTCATAAATACCAAAACCTGCCGATGCAAAAGTCACGTAAGTAAAATGATGTTCTATTTGTACCACCTTCATATATCCTCCCTTATATTTTAGATCATCTCCAGATTATGTGTAATACCTAATACAATTTAAATGCTATGTAAATAATTCTGGATGGCACCAGCAAATTCAAATTTTGCTTTTGGAACTTCCTAAAAATTTTTTCCCCAAATATTTTTAACCCACGGTTGGTTGAATTTGCAAATGCAGAACCCATGGATATGGAGAACCAATCATATGCCAAAATGTCACAAATGGCTCAAATTATAGCTGATTGCTATTTTCTTCTTCTTGCTTATTTATATTTCTGTAACAAACATGCATAGTTTTGATAATGATAAAAAATTGATGAAAGATGAACAAACATTTCTCAGATGGAAAACCTGATTTTCATAGTCTCAATTTACACCTTCGAGTACTTTAAGTGGTAAAAAAATCACATGATAACTGATGACATTAAAAAGTGAACTAATGGAAATAAAACTATGAACAGACTTTTTCTTTTTAAATTGATTTTTAGCTCTATATACTGAAAGCGCCTAATGACAACGACACCCACCATCAGCGAGCATACCTAGTATCCTGATCTTGCTAACCTCATTAAGAGGAACTAGAAATCCTTAAAAAAATAGCTGATTTCACATCTGGGGCAGGGAAAATACAAAAGGAGCCTAAGGCATCTTTTTATACTACATATCAGGCAAGTACTCAAAGACTAACAGGGGGCCATGTCAAAAAGACATAATTTGGTTATATTTGGGACAACCTGAGCATCAAAAAGAATCACAACTATAATTTATTGTAACACACAAATAAATTTTAAAAACTGAGTCTAATATGCAAGAATATTCATAGCAGTACTATTACTAATAGCCAATGACAAGGCAATAGGATAAACAATGTGGTATATTCACAGAATGGCATACCACATAACAACCAAAATGAACAAAATATGTGTAACAATGTGGATAAATTTCATAAAGTTGAGCAAAAGAAGAAAGACAAGAGTATATGAAGAGTAAAGAACATTACAGTATACTAACACATATATATGGAATTTAGAAAGATGGTAATGATGACCCTATATGCAAAACAGAAAAAGAGACTCAGATGTGCAGAACAGACTTTTGGACTCTGTGGGAGAAGGCGAGGGTGGGATGTTTCGAGAGGACAGCATGTATATTATCTATAGTGAAAGAGATCACCAGCCCAGGTGGGATGCATGAGACAAGTGCTCGGGCCTGGTGCACTGGGAAGACCCNGTGAAACAGATCACCAGCCCAGGTGGGATGCATGAGACAAGTGCTCGGGCCTGGTGCACTGGGAAGACCCAGAGGAATCGGGTGGAGAGGGAGGTGGGAGGGGGGATCGGGATGGGGAATACATGTACCTCCATGGCTGATTCGTGTCAATGTATGACAAAACCCACTGCAATGTTGTGAAGTAATTAGCCTCCAACTAATAAAAATAAATGAAAAAAAAAAAGAGTATATGAAGAAAAAAAAAGAGTATATGTACTACATGATTTCATTTATATAAATATAAGAAGCAGGCAAAACCAATATATATTAATGACCACTATTAGAGGTTGGGGGTTAGGGCTAGTGATTAGGAGAAAGCAGGACAGAGGCTCTCAGGGTGCTGGTAGTATTTTGTTTCTTTTTCTGCACACTGACTACATGATGGTGTTCATTTGTGACAACTCACTGAAGTGTATACTTTTGATATGTGTGTACATGTTTTCTGTGTGTACATGTTTTCTGTACATACATGTTTCTGTATGTACAGTTTTGTGTGCTTCTACATGCAGAAGAATAAGCAGAGAAAAAGTTCACAGTGATATTTGAAAAAAAAAAAGGAGCAAAGAATGAATAATTCACCATTTTTCATTTTCATTTTATATTACATGCAATGAGTGATCTAGCAAGGATTAACAACAGATATTAAATTATGGAAAGGAATTTGGAAAACAGAATTTTTGTGATGTTAAAGCAGCACCCTATGAATTGCATACAAAAGACAAAGAGGCCAATGTACCTTTACAATGGAGTTTCTACCTTAATTAAATGAACAAACTCAGCATCACTAACGGTGGGACAAGGTAGCAGTATTCACTCTCTGACGTGATTCAACAGCAACTACATAGTATCATTATAAGGTATTCTTGCTAGAAAAAAATTTAACCTGAATTAATATAACCTCTGGCTATAATTGCTATTTTATAAGGAATTTATGGGATTAAGGAATAAATTAACAATATATATGTATATATCAAAAAGGGCTTCCCAGGTGGCACAGTGTAAAGAATCCACCTGCCAATGCAGGAGACACAAGGGATACAGGTTCAGTCCCTGGGTGGGGAAGATCCCCTGGAGGAGGAAATGGCAACTCACTCCAATACTCTTGCCTAGAAAATTCCACAGACAGAGGAACCTTGAGGGCTACAGTCCATGGGGTTGCAAAGAGTCAGACACGACTGTGTAACTAAGTAAATTACATAACATGTAGATCAAAAAATCTAGGATGAAGGACATTCTATATAATAACTTCAAAGTCAATATATATATATATTTTTTTTTTGGACAGGAAAGTAAGATTCATTGGTGGGCCAGAGGAAGGAGGGGACAGCGCCAAGGCTCTCATAAGGGCAGGGCCCCTCATTTTTCCAGAGTGTCACCATTAGGGTTGTATATACAATATGTGACCCCTCACCACCCGGGATGAGCTACTTTTCTGCCACCATGTTTTAAAGTTCATCTGCACTAAACTTAGTAAATGCCCAGTTCTTGGAGATGTAGATCCTCTGGTGGCCAGGGAACTTGAACTTGGCCCCACAGAGGGTCTCAATCACAAGCTCCTTGTTCTGCAGCTCAGTGCGGATGGACATTATGACTTGGCCAATGTGGACCCTGGCGAGTGCACCCCAGGGCTTTCCAAAGGCGCCACGCATACCTGTCTGGAGCCTAGACTGGGAAGAGCATACCAGTCATGGAAGTCCACTGGAAAGAGCTGTATCCAAGGTCGCTCAGGGCAACCTGCAGAGGCAGCAGGCTACACACACTGCCGAGGAGGCTGCTGTTCGCAGCCGCTGCACACTGGGCCCCCACGGGGAAAGAGCCCAGTCGGCTTAACTGGCTGCAAAAGTGTATTTTTTTAAAGTGAGGAAACTACATACAATGTGGTATGTGAACTATACCACAATAAAGTTGGGGGCGGGGGGAATGAGGAAACTCCTCTAGACTACAAGAATCTAAAGAGTCATAATCACCAAATACCACACATAATGTTGCTCCTTATTTAAGATGAAAAAGGCAGGTATAAGACATCCTTGAGCTAACTGAGGCAGTGATAATATGGACCAGCTGCTAAACTCTACAGTGGAATCACTGTTAACTTTTTTAGGGATGATAATGGTATTGCAGTTACACAGAAAAAAAATGTTTCTATTCTTCGGAGACACATCATGACATATGAAGGAGTGTCAAGATGGCCTTCAAATAACTTTAAAATGATACATTAAGACGTGTGTGTGTGTGTGCGCACGCGCGTGTGCACACATGCATGCGGGTGTGAACGAGACAGAGAGAGAAAGCAAATATAACAAAAAGCCAGGAAAATTTAGAAAAGAGTAATGAAGAGTAAGGAGATCTGCTAATAATAAGACACTATAAAGATAAAGCTATATTAATTTGAAGAGCATAGTATTAGTACATTCATAAATACACAGGCTAATTAATGGAACAGAATACTATGTCCAGAAATCTATAATAATGTGCTTCAAATTAATAGGGAGAAAAAGGATGCATAATTCAATAAAGAATGCCAAGTCAAATAACTAGCCATTTAGAAAAACAAGACTTCTTGTTTTAGAAAAACTGGGATTTCTTTGATGGACCCAGTGTTAGGACTCCACACTTCCACTAAAGAGGATGTGAGTTCAATTCCTGGTCATGAACTAAGCCATGTGGTATGTCCAAAAAAGTCACTTATGTTTATATGCAACAGATCTATTATTGTTACCTTTAAATAAATTAATAAATATTTTTAAATTACTCACTTCAACTTCTAATACACTAAACAGCAGATATACTTTACATAAACAAAAGCTCTCTAGGGTTCTCAATTTTTCAGAGTCTAAATCACTGCAGATGGTGATTGCAGCCATGAAATTAAAAGATGCTTATTCCTTGGAAGGAAAGTTATGACCAACCTAGACAGCACATTAAAAAGCAGAGACATTACTTTGTCAACAAAGATCCGTCTAGTCAAGGCTATGGTTTTTCCAGTGGTCATGTATGGAGATGAGAGCTGGACCCATAAAGAAGGTTGAGCAGCAAAGAATTGATGCTTTTGAACTGTGGTGTTGGAGAAGACTCTTGAGAGTCCCTTGGACTGCAAGGAGATCCAACCAGTTCATCCTAAAGGAGATCAGTCCTGGGTGTTCATTGGAAGGACTGATGTTGAAGCTGAAACTCCAATACTTTGGCCACCTGATGCGATCAGCTAACTCACTTGAAAAGACCCTGATGCTGGGAAAGATTGAGGGCAGGAGGAGAAGGGGATGAAAGAGGATGAGATGGTTGGATGGCATCACCGACTCAATGGACATGAGTTTGGGTAAACTCCAGGAGCTGGTGATGCACAGGGAGGCCTGGCATGCTGCAGTTCATGGGGTCACAAAGAGTCATATATGACTGAGCAACTGAACTGAACTGAACTGAAAGATCAGAGGATTCAAGAACTTATACCAGAAGAGAACATAAAGGAATCTAAAATATGTAATTTCAGAATAGGAAAGACCTTTTAAGCAAGTCAACAAAACCCCAAAGCTATAAAAGATTAAAATATTTAACTATATAAAAATCTAAAGTTTCTGAATGGCAAAAATTCATAAATAAAGCCAAAAAAGAGATAATAAACTGGGAGAAAAACTTGTTAATTTCTTATATATGTGAACAGTTTTTATAAGAAAAAGATAAAAAATGGCTAATGAACATAAACAGACTAATTTACTCCAAAAAAAACGGGTTTTTCAATAATGATTTTTTTTAAACACATGAAGAGATGCTCAAAAGCATTCATAGTAAGTAAAATGCAAATTAAAACTAGAATGAAATATTACCTTTCTTTTACCAGGTTAGTAAGGATAAAAAAATTTGGAAATATGTGTGTGAGTGACCAGGTACATTGGAAAAGACCTTGATGCTGGGAAAGACTGAAGGCAAAAGGAGAACAGGGCGGCAGAGGATGAGATGGTTAGACAGTATCACTAATCCAATGGACATGAACTTGAGCAAACTCCAAGAGATAGTGAAGGACAGGGAAGTATGGCTTGCTATAGTCCATGGGGTCACAAAGAGTCAGACACAACTAAGCAACTGAACAACACAACAATTAGGTACACACAGACATTATTGTTTAGAGGGTAATGTTAAAAGGCAACTTTAGTTTCATTCTTTTACAAGTGGTTGACCAGTTTTCCCAGCACCACTTGTTAAAGAGGTTGTCTTTTTTCCATTGTATATTCTTGCCTCCTTTGTCGAAGATAAGGTGTCCATAGGTTTGTGGATTTATCTCTGGGCTTTCTATTCTGTTCCATTGATCTATATTTCTGTCTTTGTGCCAGTACCATACTGTCTTGATGACTGTGGCTTTGT